AAGGGCAGATAGGAAGTTCCCGGCTTCTACGCTTGGAAAAGGTACCGGGGACCAGACATGCTAACAATGCTAGCTTGCCAATAAGCTAATTTTACTGTACTTTGAGCACAAACATTTTTGGTCAAATGTAAATAATTGATCATGACATACACATTTCGACCAATGTTGCTGGCAAAGGGGATCAATATGCACCAGCTATTTTAGAGTGAAAAAAGAAAATACACGATATTAGTAGAAATAAGGGACCTCAGGTTTATGGGTCAGGCTAACCCATTTAATAAACCCTCTGGGATTATTTTAATGTTTAAAATGATTTAAAGTGGTACATTAAAATTAAGTTTTAATTGGGAATATCTTAACCCAACATTGAGTTAAAAACAACATACTTCGTATGGCCTTCCTAGGACATATAATAATTAATATTATATAGCGCCTTTCATAAGGGACCCTAAGGTCGCTCTACATGTGTGGGGACAAACAAAACAAACAGACAATCCAAAGGCAAAACAAAAATAAAGGAAAGCCGGGACCAAGAAAGGGCTAGGGCCCCAAAGGCCCAGGGTGAACGGTGTTGTTTTTAATGGATGATATTGAAATGGTCCCAGGGGAGGCATTATTACGGGATCTCGGCAAGAAGTGCATTCCAGGAGGTGGCCCGCAACCACTGGAACCGCCCTGTCGCACTATCAAGTTTCGGAGCGAAGGGCCGGGAGAGGCAGGCCCGGTTGTTCTGAGGGGACCACCAGACTCCGAGAAGGGTGTAGGATGGAGGAAGGGTGCCGGATAAGTACTGGGGGCAGACAGTCGCCACTTTTTTTAATTATTCCTTCCACACACACCACCACACACCACACACACACACCCACACCACACCACACACACAAACACAACCACAACCACAACACACACACACACACCACACACACCAACCAAACCAACACACCCACCACACCACACACCACACCCCACACACACCACACACCACCACGTCCTACTGGAATGCGGTTTCGTTGTTTTTGTTCTGTTCCAGCTGGTCGACTATGGCCAAAAAGGGAAGAACTGATGAGAAGGCGATGAAAAATGGGCCAGTTTTTGGGCTCACGGTACGGTGCGGCTCTTCTCAACTTTGTGAAGTGACAAGCTGTTTCACTCTATATGTAAACCAGGCTTCATCTGAAGTTTGTGTTTTTTCGTGTTTGCTGCTCTTTAGGAAAAGGGATCTGGCTTCCAAAGCTTTTCAAGGTCTTAGCTCCCACGGTTTTGAGCCTCAACTCAAATGGAGATCACACGGGATGGCACGCATCCCAAACAAGGAAGAACCTGGACAAAGCCAAAATGGGCCGTCCTGGAGTACAAAAGCCCAACCCCTTCCCCGCCTCTTGTATCCTGGTGAAAAGGAAAAAATGGAAACTTGGCACTCGTCAACCAGCTTCTCAAAGGCTTACAGAGAGGAGAAGGGCAAAAGGCTTGATCCCTGGTGTTGGATCGGCTGACGTTGTCTTGACGGATGCATTTGTCGGGGGGTGAAGATGGCTCTGAAGGTCGCTTTCAGGCGGCTGGCAGGTGTATAGAGACACTATTTCTTCCCCAAAAACAGTTTCCAAAGCCTCCTGTGTCAATGTTAAGCCCAATAACATTTCTGTAAATGGAAGATTATTTACTGATTTATGTATGAATAAATATTATTTCTTAAGGGAGAAGGAAGGTAGTTTCGTATTCATTGGAACTATATCTGGGCGCACGTTAACATTCAGTGCCAGATAGAGAAAATAAATAGGTAATCATTAAAGCGGCCTGGTCTTGAAACCCAACTGTGGCTCTTTTGCTCTCTGTCATATGTTCACTTCTCCACTTTCCAGTCTATCTAAGTTAGGGTTAGTTATGAGACAGAACCAAAGGTGATTCAAAGCAAGCAGGAGAAGAGGGACATCTTGACCTTTCCTTTATTGTTTTGCTCAAGCTGCAACATTCAGATCATGCATCTACTGGTAATGGCACCTGGCATAGCCTTTCTTTTTTTAACAATAAAAGCTCCACCTGTTTTTTCTAACCATTCCATCAGGAAAAAAGGCCCTCAGTTTAACTTTTGGATGCGATTCTGCAGAAATCCCTTTATGATAAGTTGGATGTTTTGCATTGTGAAGGGTCTTCTCTGCGTAACTAACATTGTGCTTGTTTCCTGTTCTTATTTTGCCATCCATCCACCTTACGATAGGGCTGCACAGATATAGAAAAAAAACTGACCATGGCGTATATATATTTTTTTCTGCCCTGCGATATATATATTGCAATTTTTTAACTATATTTAACCGGATGAAGGATCTTAACCTGGATCTTAACTGGTTGACACTCATCATACCTTAAGGTCATGATCTAACATGTCATGTAATGGCATGTTGGCCTTACCCTCAAATAAGAGGAGTTCACCTGTGAAGAAGAGACGAACCTTTTTGGTATCCAAAATTAGTTCCAGAGGGCAGATGTTGCGCTTTCTCTTCTTTTGGAAGTAAATCTTCATTCTCTCCCGGTATTGTCCTCCTGTGCCTTTGCTCATTTTTTACCTGGTGTTTTGATGGTCTGCAAACTAGCGGGGCGGGGCGCTGCTGTGATCTGATCAAGAATGATTGTGATTGGCTGGGTTTGCCTGGCATGCAGAGCCTGCATGTCACTCACTCAAGTACCCCTGACATGAGAGCCGCACAAGTTTTCCTTTTGTAGCAAGCAGCAAAATAATTGTAACATGACGTGTTTGAGTTAATTCACCTACTTAATATCACACGTCCTAAAAAAAATTTATAAAATCGCACGTCCCTGCGATGTGAATATCGCGGTTATCGCCATGACACGATATATCGTTCAGCCCTACCTTACGATATGTATTTTAAAAACAAAAATCAAAGACGGTAATCCCATATTATCTGACTATTGTATTGCAATACATGTGAAAGGCAGATGTAGATAAATAAAAAAGGAGTTAGTGACTACCAAATATCTCCTGAACTGAACACACACTGTCAGAGAATAATTAAAGAATTCTGCTCCTTTCCTGGCAGTGATTAGCCTGAAAGCTATTTACAAATATAGAACTGGAGAGCATTGCAGTTTGTCAGGAATCTGCACTTCACAGAGCGGGAATCTGGCAGGGACAGAGAAAAATAATTAGGCTCCTACATAAAACGTTGACCAGCCTGCAGTCTGTCCCTGCAGTGTTTTTACTTTAATGAAGCCTAACGAGAACAGATTCTAAATATGATTTACGGATATTAGATCAACTCTTTTGGACGCATGCCCTTGTCCTAACTGGAACACAGCAGCCAAATAACACACACCCAGACGAGCCTTCTAATAAAACCATATTTTTTTAATTATTTTGGCAAAAAGTGTATATGTACAGCGTGTTTAGAGTTGTCATTTGACACCATTAAAATGCATTTGAACAGTGCTTTAGTGATGTGCTCTTAACCAGATCGCTCTGAGTAGCCTAAAAGCTGTGCTGTTGTCTGTCATGCATACATAATCTCTTTGTGTCAAGTTCTCCCACTCCCAGTGTCTCAGTTCTGTAATTGTACGTCCATATACACAAAGTTTGAAGCGGTGATACAGTGTCAGTGAGCATGTCTGTGTCTATTAAGTCAAGTAATGGCAGACAAATGGCAGACATGCCAACAATCAGAATTAACGACTAATACTCTAATTCAAGTATCATTCGGTTTCACAGACTACGTTACACCTCTCACTACAATCTTATAAGTTACACACCACAGTCCTAACATCCTACAGTACTCCATTACAGCAAGACTGCCATTGATACATTTGTGGACTATAAACTCAGATCCGTTTTTTACAAATCAGAAATCAATAAGCATCTTCTGGATTGCAGAAACTCAGGGACAATCTCAAATGACAGTTCAATGTTAAATTACATTGACTTAGCATGGTACTTTGCCAGTCGATGACACGAATGTATTTACAGGTGTATAAATGTAGAATACTACTCGTGTAAGTGGCGTGAATACAGGTTTCAAAGCAGTCCTATAAGGTGACGGCATCACGAATAAACAGACTAAGACCAGGAACATTAAAGTGCTCCATGCAGGACAGACAAAATGTACACATGTGTTACCGTTTTCACAGTTCATCGACAAGGCTTTTTTTGTTATAGCTCAATGGTAGGGGGATACAAAACTAGTGTTATTTGTTCAGCCTTTCGCAACGTTGGAATTCAAAAGTGAAATAAAGCCAACAAATATACTAGACAGGGGTGACAATGAAGTAACTTGTATTTTAAAAAAGGCATCCCCCCCTCCCCTGCTCTTACATCCTGGGTGTTGAAAGTATTACTAAACGAGTATTGTAGTATTCCAGTTACTACAAAATCACCCCTGTCCTTGTGCTGTATTGCATCAGTACATTCACCAACGTCTACATACACAGATATGACATTTTCAAGCAGGAATATTCTGCACTTCAGTTAAAATTCAACTTAAACGGACATAGTGTAATATTGGTTTTATGTTTTAGACAGCGCAAGGCTTCCATCACCAGAATTTATCCTGTCAAAAATATACTTAAGCCTATTGTATGTATTCACAAAAGTATATATCTCAATACACACAATAAGCGAATATTGTATGGTCAGTCACGTGGAGTTACATTTATCAGCTTTCAGGACGGGAAATACGATACAAACATGCGTGTTTTACGAGTACCTAGAAGTGCCCACAGTAAACGTGACATTTTACATTTACACATCAGCATATTAATCCAGAATAACCAGCTGCAATGAAGGCATATAAGAATATAAATTAACCCAACAAACTCCATATAATATCTATGCTTTATCAAAAATGTGTCAAACATAAAAAAGTCTTGTGTTTTTTTTCTTTTTTACATGACTTGGATAAATGTAATGGTATGAGTTATTTTGTTCTGATGGTCACAGCACCAACAGGAATTTATTGATGCGAAAAAAGAAAAGAAATCCAAACAATTTCCTTTTTTTGAAATTAATCTATACAGAGTGGTAGTTATCTCCGGTTTTAGGTATTTACAAACTCCTACTGACACACCATCAATGCCTCATGAATGTTTGATCAGGAGTATTTGCCCAGCTATCATCCTATTGCTCTGGCTACATCCACTTACATCCTTCTCCCTGTGTGCCTCTAACTGGTCAACTTCAAATATGTATTGCTTCTTTATTCTTTAACACGCTCTGCACTCCTATCTCACAGCCCTTACCCCCTCACTCTTCTAGGTTATTTCCATTTGCAGGTGAAAAGAGACCGTTTAGGGATTTGCTTTCCTGATGATTACTCTACATCGTGCACACTTTCCTTTTGGCTGTCACTGAACAGGAACACCTTCATATCTCTTCCTTTACTTTGTATTGTCAGTCTGTTTGTTTCCTTGATTCCTTCCCCCCTCTCCTTCTGTCCTGCCTCATGCCTTCGTCCCAAACGCTCCTCCTCCTCCGCTCTGCATGCTGAAATACTCTGTGAAGGAAGGGAGCCGGGGGGGCAGCGGGGGGGAGCGTGAGGTCTGGCGTGGGGGTATTGGGGGCAGAGGAGGGGGTAATATCGCCGTTAAATCAGCAGCAGTGGTGATGATCTTCTGCTCGCTGTTCCTTGGCACCTCGCCTCCTTTACGGGCCACCGTCTCCTCCACCGTCGTCACCGGCTCCTGGAGGGAAAAGGTGAGGTTTCAAGGCTTTATTGTCATTTGCACATTAGCTACAGTGTAGTCACTCCAACAGTGCAACATGTACACTGTATAGGTCATAGAACAGATAAAACAGATTCAGTAGTTCAAGAGAATGTTCTGACCCTCTGGATGAAGGCTACTGTGTGATGTGCACACCATACTAAACTCACATTATGACAGCTTCCTCTAACGACCACCAATGCTGTAGTTATAAAGGTCACGGTACGTATATCACACATGTTCTACAAACTGAATAACGCATCTTCCCTTTTGAAGCATTCTCCTCAGCCTTAAAGGAAAANACACACACACACACACACACACACACACACACACACACACACACACACACACACACACACACTTGTCCTGACTGAATGCGTTTCTTGTTTTTGTTTGTTCCAGCTGGTCGACTATGCCAAAAAGGGAGACACTGATGAGAAGGCGATGAAAATGGCCAGTTTTTGGCTCACGGTACGTGCAGCTCTTCTCAACTTTGTGAAGTGACAAGCTGTTTCACTCTATATGTAAAACAGTTCATCTGAAGTTGTGTTTTTCGTGTTTGCTGCTCTTTAGGAAAAGGATCTGGTTCCAAAGCTTTTCAAGGTCTTAGCTCCACGGTTTGAGCCTCACTCAAATGGATACACACGGATGGCACGCATCCCAAACAAGGAGAACCTGGACAAAGCCAAGATGGCCGTCCTGGAGTACAAAGGCAACCCCTTCCCGCCTCTGTATCCTGTGAAAAAGAAAAATGAACTGGCACTCGTCAACCAGCTTCTCAAAGGCTACAGAGAGGAGAGGGCAAAAGCTTGATCCTGGTGTTGGATCAGTGACGTGCTGACGGATGATGGTCGGGTGAAATGCCTCTGAAGTGTCGCTTTCAGGCGCTGCAGGTTATAGACACTATTTCTTCCCCAAAAACAGTTCCAAAGCTCCTGTGTCAATGTAAGCCAATAACATTTCTGTAAATGGACGATTATTACTGATTATGTATGAATAAATATTATTTCTTAAGAGAAGAAGGAGATTTTCGTAATCATTTGAACTATATCTGGGCAACGTAACATCAGTGCAGAAGAGAACATAATAGTAATCATTAAAGCGGCCTGGGTCTGAAACCAACCTGTTGCTCTTTGCTCTCTGTCATATGTTCACTTCTCTACTTTCCACTCTATCTAAGTTAGGGTAGTTATGAGACAGAACCAAAGGTGATCAAAGCAGCAGAGAAAGAGACATCCTGACCTTTCCTTATTGTTGCTCAAGCTGCAACATCAGATCATGCATCTACTGTAATGCAACTGCATAGCCTTTCTTTTTTAAATAAAGTCCACCTGTTTTTTTCTACATCTCCATTCAGAAAAAAAGGCCCTCAGTTTAACTCGATGGATTCTGCAGAAACCCTTTATGATAAGTTGATGTTTGCATTGTGAAGGGTCTTCTCTGTAATACATTGTGCTGTGTTCTTATTTTGCCATCCATCCACCTTACGATAGGGCTGCACGATATTGAAAAAAACTGACATGGCGATATATATTCTTTTCCCCTGCGATATATATATTGCAATTTTTTTAACTATATTTAACCGGATGAAGGATTTTAGTCACGGACGTCTGGATCTTAACTGGTTGACTCATCGTACCTTAAGTCATGATCTAACATGTCATGATAATGCATGTTGCTTACCCTCCAATAAGGGGGTTCACCTGTGAAGAAGAGACGAACCTTTTTGTATCCAAAATAGTTCCAGAGGGCAGATGTTGCTTTTCTTTTTGGAAGTAAATCTTCATTCTCTCCGGTATTTTCCTCCTGTGACTCGCTCATTTTTTACCGGTGTTTTGATGGTCTGCAAACTAGCGGGGCGGGGCCTGCTGTGATCTGATCAAGAATGATTGTGATTGGTGGTTTGCTGCATGCAGAGCCTGCATGTCACTCACTCAAGTACCCCTGACATGAGAGCCGCACAAGTTTTCCTTTTGTAGCAAGCAGCAAAATAATTGTAACGTGACGTGTTTGAGTTAATGTACCTACTTAATATCACACGTCCTAAAAAAGAAAAAAAA